CTTTCACTGGATTCCAAAAACAAGTCTCAAACAAGCACTCATCTTCATTAATCAGTTCCTGCTTTAAGTTTCTTATATGATGACTCTGTTTCTTTGTGTATGAATTTTTCCAAATATGGGAAAATCAGAGAAGATGATTAAAGAAGATCTCATCTGGGCAATCTCACCTCTCTAAAGTATATGCCACTTACACAATCAAAAGTTAACAGATCTTCTGTCATTCTAGATCCACAGTAAAAATTCTTAAGAGTGATTCTATACCTAATACTTGCTTAAGAACACCTTTAAAAATCAGAAATCCACCCAATATATAGCACAGACAAAACCAAATGTTTAGGGTTTCTTTTTGTTCTATTTCAAAAATGAAAGAGAGAATAAACAGCAAGACAATGGTCTGTTTACTTGTTTTATAGAATAATCTCTGAAGTGTAGTTCAGATCTTTACCATTTATTGTAAAGGTAGCATTTACCTGTTCTTTGTACAATGTGTTTCCCCAGTCGGTGGCCAAAAGCAATAATATTCTGATTTAACTAAAGTCTGAAGTGCTCTGGTGGAATATATTGTTTATAGTTATATATCACATTAAAAACAAAATTATGTAAAAATACATCCCGTAATCCTACTTTGCTAAATATTCCAGTCCTCTAAAGTACTCCTCCAGTGGTGGTGATGGAAGCACGCTGATGCAGTCCAAATGAAGTTCCTCGGTACCTTTTGTGACCAATGGCATACAAGCGACTCATCTGGTTGCAATTAAAGACAGGCTAGTCCAGTGAGACCAGCACCTCGGCAGTTCTAGCAGTTACCACAGAAGACATTGCTTCACTCTTCAAGGAGCTAATCACACGTAAAAATAACTAAATTATGTTTATTAAATAACTTAGTAGCTATAGATAAATCTCATTAAACAAGACTGATAGAAAACAAATAAAACTACTTCTTGAAAATGTATAATTCAGATTTTCAATAATGGGTAATAAAGTATTTCTAAACAGATAACCCTTTGAGCCTACTTCAATAGCTTATTATCTCTTAATTATGAGAATTACTATCTGATATTAGATACTAGATGTAAAATAAAAATTATCTGAATGGAGATAATCAAATCATATGCAAAATCTTAAAATATTTTAAAATCCCTTTATTTCATAAAAATACAAACTTTGCCTCTATAAGTCACAAATGCAA